TATATCTTCTTTGATGAGGAGTCTGTTAAGGTCTTTGGCCCATTTTTTAAATTAGGTTGTTTTCTTTTTTTTATTGAGTTTCAAGAGTTCATTGAATAGTTTGAGTAAGTGTCCTTTACTAGACATGGCTTTTCAAATACTTTTGCCCACTCTGTGGCTTATCTTCTCAATCTCTTAAGCCTCACATCATTCTCAGGCCATCTTGGGTAAGCCTCGTCCAAATCTTCCTTCCCCTTTTACATTCTCCCTTACTAGCCCCAACAAAGGAGAGGTCTATTCTGACAACACAGCATCCCAGGGAAAGTACCACCCTGGCCCTCGGTGTAAAGAGTTACCCTTCAAGGGCACTTAGCCACTGCAGAAACATGGCCACTGTGCTGGAGAGGCAGTCCCACAACACCCCCAGATTATGCGGGTCACCCACATGCTGTCTTAAGGAGGCTGCCATCCCAGAGTCCTGTCCTCTCAGATCAGCTGACGTAACCATGGAAACTTTCTGTGCAGAGATGTAGGATGCAAATTGTTGCTTTTAGCAGGGACAGTTCAGGACTGAGCTGTACTTAAGGGTACAGGTTATCACCAGTTCATTCTGAGCCTCTCTCTAATCTAGCAAACATTCAACTCACAGCTGACTGGTGCGACAAGAATTGAGACTGTGGACTTGGCGTAGATTTATATAGATGAGTGTTCTAACCAGAGGCAATCATGATCGATGATTTCAGAAAAGAAAACAAAAGTTGGCTAGATTTCCAGAGGAAAGCACCCTTTCAATCTTTAAGACACATGGAGAGCCTCCAACAAGAGGGATGGAAAGGACATTACCACTCAGTCTCTGTTTCACAAATTTCTGTGCCTTTTGGGGTTTTGTGAGTGCAAATGCTACTTACTAGCTACAGCAGGGCTGTCATTGTATCTGTGACTAATTTTGTGCCATTTTCCAAGCATTTTCAAACCCATCATCTTGTTTAACCCTGTGCCATCCCACCAGATTGCCACATTTATGAGTTCGTTTATTTAACAAATATATATTGTTATTATTGGTCATTGATGCTCATTTTGTACATGAGAAAACCTGAAGAGTTTTTAGGTAGTTTGTCTCAAATTCTCACCACCAATGAGGGCCAAGCTGGGACAAGAACCGAGGTCTTTTGGATTTCTGCTCTCTCCTCTTTTTCACTCAATTTCTTACACTCCTTTACCCAGGCAACCATTAATACACCCATGCCTGTAGTCAAACTTCCTCCCCTCTGATCCCCAGAGACAGAAACCCCACAATGATATTGATGTTATTAGATTATTCAGGTGAGTCTGGATTATGAGAAGCCAAGGAAAAATAAGGCTGTATGACAGTTTTCACCCTGAAAACAATGTCAATTAGTAGAGGGGAGAGCCAGCCAACCACCAGGAGTGCTCACTTGCAAAGTGTCTGCAAGCAGGTGTCTGAATACCGCCAACAGCCTGGAGAGAGCATGCAGAAAAGTCTGGATTTGGAGTAATGTTTCTATTATCTTTATTATTGGAGTGGATGCTCTTAATCTATCTCCATTTAAGGCTCAGATTAACCCTCACTCTCCTCTCTGTGAAGGAGGTACTCCAAAGCCCTTGGCACACTGATTACTCACAACTTTTTGGCTATCCTAGGATTCCAGGGCCCTTTGCTCCCACTGGTGAATGATCATGCTTTCCATAATCCCTGGGTGTGCCCAGTCCTGTGGGTGTAAATTGACCTTGGTGTCATTTTAAAACTTTCATTGTTATATAAACTGGCAAAAAAAATGAGTTTGATAAGCTTGAGGATCATTTCTATGAAAATTATTGAATGTTTTTGGATGATTCAAAGAATGAGTTGTTGAAAATATTTTGCTATTAAAGTTGAGGTAGAAGAGACCTATATGAGAAATTGGGGAAATGCAACTCTAGAAGGATTTTGCATATAGCCTGTTTGGCAAGTGACTTTGTTTTTGTTCTGCTTTGACATTAAAGGTATCATTGATATAGTCAGAAAACCCAGTCTCCAAGGGACAGGACTCTCTTCTGTGTCAAAAAGTTGGCATTGATGTCACTAGACTGGGGTCTGAAAAGGTCCCTCCAAGGAGGAGAATGAACCTCAATTCAGCCTGGGGGTTCTTGACTTTTGAAAGAATCCCAGTACATGTCAAAAGTAAGGCACACACAAGGATTTATTTAGGGACAGTGAAGATGTACATACCCCAAAAGCAGGGTGTGGGCACCCCTTGTCTCAGAGAGGAGTAGACAAGTGATGCCCCAGCTTTAACTCTCTGATTACATATAAGATTTTCCTGGAGCTGGGTGCAATGGCACACACCTATAATCCCTGTGACTCGGGAGGCTGAGGCAGGAGGATCGTGAGTTCAAACCCAGCCTCATTGACTCAGGGAGACCCTGTCTCTAATAAAATATAATAAAGGGTTGGGGATGTGGCTTGGTGGTTAAGTGCCCCTGGATTCAATCCCTGGTATTCCCCCCCCCCAAAAAAAGTGCAGGTTCCCAGGCAAGCTTTTTCTTGAGAATTAAGTTCCAAGAAAATAATTTGATATTTGGGGATTAGAATGTTTCTTTTTGTTTAAGCAGTCTGGCCATAGATCATTTGTGGGCACAATTGTGTAAGTCTTTGAATCTGGTGACATTTAAATTGATTGTTTTTGTCCTAGTTAATGTGTTACAAGCATATGCTGGAAGCTTTGTTCATCTAACTAAAGGAACAAGCATGAGTAGTTCTTGCCTGAAGATCTGGGTCTACTAAGGGTCTCTTTTCCTCTCTCCCTGAGAGTCTACCTATCTCATCAAGAGATTTCCAACAAGTGGTAGGAGGCTTGATATCCAGAAAACACATAATTGAGTCTGTATCTTAAGAGCACCAATGGATAACCTCTATAATTCAGTGTTTTGCTGAATATTTACTTCATCAGTAGAAAAAATTGTTTGGCAAACACTTCTGCAAAATTAAAACATGTCCAACCTATGAAATGTTACCTTCCAAAAAGTGATGCTATATTAGAGTAAAGAAAAACTTAGATCAATAGTCCTAACACTTGCCTGTTCCTCAGAAATGGCAATATAATTTGCAGAGATAGTGAAAAATTAAAATGCAAGGCCCCCCTGTTCAAAAATTAATAGGAATTTCAAGATGATGACAACAGAGCATTCAAACAATCCTGGGGCCCTTCTGAGGTCAAGGCTCTATGCAGCCGTGCAGGTCACACAGCCATGAAGACCACCCTGAGGACACTTGTTGTTGGAAAATCAGTACAACTTCTCTTTTTTAAAAAAGTTTAATCTGTACCAGTTTATTGTATTTCACAAAAGGCAGCACAATGGACTTGATCAAAGGTTGTTTTTGTCATAAATTATATCTTCAGTAAAGAAACACTTGAAGAATAAACTTGAGAATCTCATGCTCTTTCTAGTTAAGTTAGCTTCTTAATTGTCAGGAATTTAAAGAGCTTGATATTGTCTTCCCCACTGCAACCCCCCTATGGCCCTCCAAGAATAAGATTATTATCCAGTCTATAAATTGAAGGATTCTGAATGTTAAAATATATCCCTTAAATTAAAGGGTTTGAGTTCTATTTTGAAAATAAAAATAGAAAACTGAAAAGAATATCAGTCCTATAGAAATTTTAGGATATCATATCAAAGAATTGTTTGCCATAGGGCAACAGCATGGAATGAAATTCTTAAGATGCAAAATTTTACACAGATCTTCATGTGCAAAACAATGCCCCCCAAACAGGTTTTTTTTTTAACTTCAGCTTAGACCAATTTAAGGTTCTAACAAAGAAGTAGTAAATAAGGATGGATTCAAGATGATTTGTTGGAGAATAAAAAATTTAAATAGTGAATAAATCACATATACCCTGACACAACTAGATACATCTAAATATGAAGAGGAAATAGAAGAGATGTGATGAAATTCAAAACCATAAATCATTCATCCAGTGCCTAGATTTACCCTTTATGTAGTTTCATATGATATTGAAGAACAACAGAACCAGCAAGAATGCTGTAATAGTAAAGAAAAAAACATTATTTTTTATTGGTTCTTTTTAGTTTTATATGACAATAGAATCCATTTTGACATAGTTATAAAAGCATGATATATTTCTTGTTCTAATTCAGTCCCCAGTACTTCTCCTTCCTCTTCCCTTCCCCTTCCCCTACCCACCTCTATTGACCTTTCTGCCATTTACCCATGGTTGTTTTTTTTTGTTTTTGTTTTTAATTAATTTCTTGTGGATGTACGATGGTGAGTCACTGTGGTATATTCATATAGGTACAAAGGGAAGTTATATCAGGTTCTTTCCTTTTCCCATTCCCCCTCCCTTCTCTTCATTCCCCTTTGTCCAATCCACCCCTTCCCCATTATGGGTCACCTTCACGTATCAGAGAAAATATTTGACCTTTAGTTTGGGGGATAGGCTTATTTCACTTTGCATGACAGAAGAAAAAAAACATTTTTTTTTTTTAGAGTAACTTCTTCTTCTTCTTTTTAATGTTAAGAAAATTTATTAACCTCCGCTAAAAACTGAGCCCACTTGACCCCATGATCCTCCAGGACTGAGCTGCTAGGGACCTCTATAGAAGGAAGAAGGAATGAAGGCCCCCAGGTGCAGAAGCCTCCAGTCAGAGGCGGTGGGCTGAGGTTTGCCCAGTGACAAGGCTGGGCCATTAGCTGTGCTTGCTGCACCCCCCACGTCGCCTTTGTAACCTTTGGTTCTTGTCTGTGGTTCTGCAATCCAGGTTCAGTCCCCTGTGCCGGGCAGGAGCGTGGCCTCCTGCCTCCTGCCTCCTGCCTCCCTCCTCTGCCTCTGCAGGCCGCTAGGCACCGGGGGCCTCCCCAGAGGGAGGGAGTGCCCTGCGCTCCCTCCGAGAGACCCTGCGGGCCAGCCTGCGAGGGGCGCGGGGCCCGGCGGCTTCTCTCGAGGCCGGTCCCCAGCGGCGACGCTGACTCAACCTCTCCGTGTCCCCCCTCCCCGCAGGGAACGTGACTGGAAACAGTAACTCCACGTTCATCTCCAGCGGGCAGGTGATGAACTTCAAGGGCGACATCATCGTGGTCTACGTCAGCCAGACGTCGCAGGAGGGCGCGGCGGGGCCGGGGGCCGCGGCGGAGCCCGTGGGCCGCCCGGTGCAGGAAGAGACGCTGGCGCGACGCGACTCCTTCGCGGGGAACGCGCCGCGCTTCCCGGACTCGTGCGCGGGCGCCGAGGCGCGGCTGGGCGCGGGGCTGCAGGAGCAGGGCGCGCCGGGGCCCGAGAAGGCCTCGCGGCCGGTGCAGGAGCAGGGCGCGGCCGCTTGAGTGTGGCCAGCCCTGCGGCGGACGCCCGGTGTCGCCTCCGGCCGCGCGGTGGCACCTGAGGTCGCAGCTCCGCGCCGGGATCCCCGCCACGCATCGGTACACTTGTGCACAGTGACCTGGCACCCTCTGCCCACCTTGCTCTTCGGAAAACCAGTGACTGCAAAACAGTAAATGGATCGTGACTTCTCGCCGAGGCCCACAGCGGCTGGTCCACTCTCCGCGCAGGTGCACCTTGTGATCTGCGCTGGGCACCTGTGACTACCTTGTAACTCCTCCCCCTCCGCCACCTGTTATCTTGTAATCAGCAACTTGTCCCTTTTGACATGTTTTATGACTGTCTTATTCCATCCAGATCTCTATCCCCCCCATATTTATATTTCACTTTCTTTCATACCATATTTCTTGATACTTTTGCCCTCTTTTCTCCCAAATTATCCTGGAGGTAACAGTCTCCTTTACATAATTTCTTTTTCATCTCTTCTCTCCTCACAGTGTTCCCTGATGGCTCTAAGCACTTTGAGGGGAAAGCTAGAAACTTTAAGCCTAGAATGCGGTGCAGGGAACAAATGGAGGGACACATTTTCTGAGAAAGACATTCTATGTTCTCTTTTTCTAAAAGGAAGAAGATGGCAAATCAAATGTTCTCCCTGAATGTCCCCCACCCCAATCCCTGATCCTGGGGATTGAACCCAGGAGGTGCTCTACCACTTACCTACACCCCCCTGTCCTTTTTTATTTTGGGAAAGTGTCTCCCTGAGGCTGGCCTCGAACTTTCAATTCTCCTGCTTCAACCTCCTGAGTAATTGGGAGTAACTTCCATTTCTCCTGCCCCCAGCCCTCTTCCCGCACACCATGTTTTTAAATCTATATAGATCCTTGAGCAGAATTAAGTTCAGCGCCTGGCCTTGCCCACTATGGGATTTACTTGTCCACACTGGCAGAGGTAACAGGTACTTGGCAACTAAATATGTAAAAATCCAAGTTGTTGTGGCTTGGCATTCTTATTCCTGATGTCTTGCTGGAAAGGATGCAGAAAATGAGTAAGGACACAAGGCCAGCCTGCATACAAAGTGAAAGGAGGGTGCCAGGAAAATTCAAGAAAGAATGAATAAGTTGACATATTAATTTGCATTTCTCTTTCTAGATATGAATGCCATAAATGTGTTTTGGCACTGGGCCCTCTTTTCCTCGTCAATCCTGTGCATCTCTGATTTAGACTTGTAGAAGTAGAAAACATTCTTGCTATTTTCCAGTGCATATAAATTACAAACAAATCCCTGTGTTGTGAATACAGGGAAATTTATTTTCCTGCGGGTGCATCTCTTGGCATTGGTTGTCTTGTGAGGAAACAGTGTAAGTCAGACCATAAGGAGTCAACCGGGGATTTACCTACTTTAGTGGCCAATGAGCATTAGTTCTCCTCAAACACTGAAGAAAAGGTAAAGCCCCTAAGCAAATTAAAATTATTTTGCACATCTGATAGTGGTAATGATGGTTGCTGTGCAGACTTTACCAACCTCAAGTGTCCAGCTAAAGAGAATGGCCCTGGCTTCACCCTCCTAGTTGCAGTTCTCCTAGAAAGGCTGGGGCAGCCGGAGATGGGGAGGGGGCAGTTGATTGTGATTTCTAATGGAGAAGCAGAGAATGGCTCCTTCACTGGCAGAAAGAACTGTGGGAAATAACTGCAGTGTCAGGATGATGTATTGGTGGGAATTTACAATCTGTCTTACTCTTTTAGTTAAAAGTCCATCCAAAGAGAGATGCTACACAAATGGAAGAACCCATTATACTTTTTTTTTCCATTATACTTTTTGATATGGAATATATTAAACAAAGTTATAAGTTTACAGAGTAGGCTGCTGAGCTAAAAACCCATTTCTACTGTGACTGTCACCATCTCACTGAGATGATTTTGCCTTCTTGTGCTTTCATTTTCTTTCTATAAAAAGGCAGTAATGATAATTTATCATGGTTTCCCTACCCAGAGATATCAAAAGGATGCTACAGTGAATGCTAAAGTGCCTTGAGCTCCTTAAGTATGAGGTGCTATATAAATATGTTAAGAATCTATTTTCAGAAAAAAGGTAACATTCTTTCCCACATGGATCCCTACTAATTCTGTGTTGTGCCACAGGCAATTAAGTGATAGGAAATGTGTAGCAAATACAGGTCTGTGTCTGTGAATTATAGAGATGTATGTGACAAATGGAATCAGAAGGAAATGAAAGCAATAATGAAAAATTATTTGGGGGACATGATAAAGAGATTATTAAACTTATATTTGACTATACAAGGTTACTTTTCATGGCGTACTAAAACAGGACTCATGATGCAACTTCTTCCTGATCTCCATGGTGTGCTGTGGTGTCAAACATTGGTTTTATTGTGTCTTATTGGTGGTTCCCTTGACAACAGGGTTGGGAGAGAAAACACTCTCTTTGTTGATATGTCTGTTGTTAATCTCATAAGAAAATTATTTTAAATACAGCCTGGCACCTAGTGAGAGAGTTTAAAGGGAAATGAAATGTGTTATTTCCTACTTGTGTTCTACTCAGCTGCTAGAAAAAGGAATAATTAGTTTCTTTACTTGCAAATGTCAGGAGTAGTTCGGGTGTGATACATGGAACAGGGAAAGAAGGATTCTTGCTGTGTGACAACCCTCCCCACGATGTAGTGACTTAAAGCAACTGCTACTTACTTAGTTCAAGGTTCTATAGTTGGATCAACTCAACTGGGGTGGTTCTTAGGCCTGGGCCCTGCCGGGTGAGGCTTGCTCATGAAGGTGCAGCTCATGGGGCTGGGGCTGGACAAGCCTGAGCTCTCTGTACATGGTCCCCCATCCTTCCAGCTGCTGAGCTGGGCTCGCTCTTATGGTGTCAGGGTCTGGAGAGAGCAAGCAAAATCTGCCTCTCTGTAACCTATATATTTCATTGTGTAAAGCGAGATGTGTGACTTGAATGTTATAGATATTAGTAGTTAAAATTGGAATAAAAGAACTTGTGATTACCCAGCTTATGACTAGCAGGCAACCCATGAGTATCTGGTGAATTGCCACCACTAAAAGTGGTATAGCCTGTGAATTTATTGTTTTTCAATAAGTTCTGACATTGTGGAAAGACACACCAAACATGTTTGGTCTGTTAATGGCACAGCTTACCCATGACAATCTGCAATGTCTCAAGATACATTTTTTCTAGGTAGATGCCACAGCAAGAAGAGGTCGCAATTCAAGGTTGTTCTGGGAAGACGTTGGGGGCAAGTAGGACTGTCTTAATATTCTTTGTATGTCCTTCCCCTTTTTAAACAGGTATTTTTATTAAGCCCAGGCTGGCTCTGAGTCAGAAGGTCAAGAAGGGACAAGACAACAATTTCTGACAATAAAAGAAACAAACCTTAGGCCATGCACGAGTTCAGATGTCATGATTGGAGTATGGTGTGGCAACAGAGCCAGGGCCCTGAGCTCTGGGCCAGGACCTTCACTGACACTAAGCTATCATTTGATGCTGAGTCCAGACCTCTTGGCACTGATGGTGGCCTCTGCTCCTGACCTAAACCACTGTTGGTGGCTGCCGATGGGGAGGGGGCAGCAGCAGCAACCATTGGCAGCTCTATTAGAGAGGAAAACAAGAATGTAAAGTGTACTCAAGACAAGGAGAGGGCCCCCTTCATGCCAGCCATGGCTAACAGCTACCAGTTCCCAGTGCACCTATTGCTATATGAATATTTGCTCATTGAATCATCACAGCAAATCTATGAGTGATTATTATTATCTTTATAAAAGAGGACTTGGGCTTGGATGTTTAACAAACTTTCCGAATTCACAAAGCTAGCATATGGGGTGTGCACCCAAACTTCAGTTTTCAGTGGCCATTATAATGACCATATGGGTAAATGGTCATGTTTATACCCAAAATTTTCTGCTTCCTCTAATGGAAGTCTGTTTTTAGCTATAAAAAAAATGATGTACACTAGAGTTGAACTTAGGTAGAGAGAGTCAACAATGGAAATATTTTTTTAAACATCCAACTTTTCATTAGTTTTCCAAATTAATTAGTAAGTCCTACAATTTTGCACTAGAAACTTTGTATCTGTGATGGTTAATTTCTGTGTCAACTTGACTGGGCCTTGGATGCCGGATCTCAAACATCATTTTTGGTGTGTCTGTGAGAGGATTTCTGGATGAGGCTAGCATTTGAGTCAGTGGACTGAGCCAAGCAGATGGCCTTCCCAGGGTGGGTAGGCAGCTTCCAGACCACGAGGGCCTGAGTACACAAAATGTAGAAAAAGGTTGAATTCACTGTGCCCAATTGGGACCATTAGGGACTACACAAGGACAAAGAACAGAGGCACTCTGAGGTCTTCCACCTACAGACCTGTCAAACTTAAGGAATCTCTGTCTAAAAGCTGGCAATATAAGGTTTGTTTATTATCACTAAGGTTACTCACCCTATCTCATCCCCCTCAAAACCGAGGACCCCAAGATAAGAATCACTAAGGTATTTTCAAGATTTTCAGGGACATCCAGCTGCCTGCTTTCACAACATCCTGTTCCAGATGCCTGGGAGAGAGACCTAGAAGTCGTCGGTCATTGTCCTACACCCTTCTGTGCCGGCTGCAGCAAAATAACCGGGCTCCTGGAACAGCAGAGTCCTTAGACAGACCACCTCATGATGAGATCACCCCCCAAATGGGAGCAATTACCCCAGGACAGGAGTGAGGCTACCCCTCTGAGCAGGAGCAATCATCTGGTAGGAGGGTAGGTTGCCCCCTCGAGCAATAAGGAAAATCACCAGAGCCACGTGGCAAAATCCAAACTGAGATAATGATCAACCAGTCCCTGGCCCACCTCAGCTGCCCAACAAAAGGTGCGTCCTTCTTTATTCCAAGAGCAACCTTCTCTTTCTCAGTGCTGTCACCTCTCTCCTTGAGGTTAAACCCCCAGCTCAGGGTTTGCTTGTGTGTCCGTTCTATTTGGCTTAGTTTTATTGCTACTGTCACTC